TCCCATTAACTCGTCATTTACATTAGGTATATCTCCTAATGCTATCCCTCCCTCCTCCCTGCTCTCCACAATAGGCCCCGATGTGTGATGTTCCCCTTCCTGTGTCCAAGTGATCTCATTGTTCAGTTCCCACCTTTGAGTGAGAACATGCAGTGTTTGGTTTTCTGTTCCTGTGTTAGTTTGCTGAGAATGATGGTTTCCAGCTGCATCCATGTCCCTACAAAGGACACGAACTTATCCTTTTTTATGGCTGCATAGTATTCCATGGTGTATATGTGCCACATTTTCTTAATTCAGTCTGTCACTGATGGACATTTGGGTTGATTCCAAGTCTTTGCTACTGTGAATAGTGCCGCAATAAACATACATGTGCATGTGTCTTTATAGCAGCATGATTTATAATCCTTTGGGTATATACCCAGTAATGGGATGGCTGGGTCAAATGGTATTTCTAGTTCTAGATCCTTGAGGTATTGCCACACTGTTTTCCACAATGGTTGAACTAGTTTACAGTCACACCAACAGGGTAAAAGTGTTCCTATTTCTCCACATCCTCTCCGGCACCTGTTGTTTCCTGACTTTTTGATGATCGCCATTCTAACTGGTGTGAAATGGTATCTCATTGTGGTTTTGGCAAATAATTTTTTAAAAGTACTTAAAAGTATTTGAATCATTGTACGTGATATCCAAAGGAGATATTTTATCACAAACATTCTGAACTCATGACTTAGAAACAGTAGTAATGAGAATAATATTTGATTACTTATTCTGTTCAGAGTATAGCACTGTATGCTACACTTTTATATTCAGATAGATGAATTCACACATATGTAAAAAACAAGTTAATGTAATATTGTTCCCAGTGCTGTTGCATATGAGGAAGTGGGTACAATCTTTACCTTTGTTCTTGCTTTCTTATGTGTCATTCAACACACATTCTCCTTGAAGCAGGGTTATAATCGACGGTTCAGATGCTGAGCCCACAGATTTCTTTGTGCCTAGTCCCCAGTGTTGAGTGGACGTAATACATTTATGAATGAACCCTGGCTCAACACCAGACTGTTGTTGTTGGCCTTGTATATTAATATTACTGGGAAGCTAGTTGGAATTTAGTTCATTATTTGTGCAAGTTTTCAAATTCCAGCACTGTTTGAGAGGGAGTGTGGTATACAGTCAGAGTTCAGACTGTAGGGGTGATCTGGGGCATCTCGGCCATAGCTACGTGTTATGGTTAGCAGACCAATAACTACACTGCAACATCAAAACGCTTTTATCTGCCACTTCTCCATCTGTTTAGATTTTATTGAAGAGCGTACTATACTACACCCCTCCCGTATGAAGCTGATTATTCACATCACTCATTTCCAGAAAAACCAGCTGAAAAAGAAAACAAGATCTCGTGTTCATTTTATTTATTATCTGATTTGATGATAAGTCAGCTCTGATCACCCATTGAATACTTAAAGAAAAATGAAGAAAGTTGGAAAAACTAAGGGAAAATAACTTTAGCTATAAAATCTATGAAAGACAAAAATGAGCCTAATCTCTTCTTTTTTTTAACCTGGATTTCATCTCCTGCCTGTTTTTCCAAGTTCTCTTGATTCCCCTGTTCCATTGTTCTTTCCTCTTCCTTCTCGTCCATTGTCCAATGTTTCAAATATACAAACAAGGCCCTGAAGCAGGACCCAATTTAGCTTGTTGGAGGAATCACAAGAAAACATACGTAACTGTAGAGACCCAGTGAGCTAGGAGAAGAGTAAAGAAGGATGAGGTTAAAGGGCCAGGGCCTTTGTTAAGGATTTTGTTCTGTGTGTAGTAGGAACCTTTTGAGCACGATCCAGTTTGTTTTTCAAAGGCCACTTAGATGTTGTGAAGAGTGGAAGTAGGAGATCAGTTAGAACCTTCTATCTATGACTTATGCTGGATAATGACTGAAGGTAAGATGTTAGCTGTGGAGGTGATGAGAATTGGTCCTATTGATGATATATTTTGGAAGTAGAGCTGTTAGAACTTGCAAATACATTACACTTTGGTAAGACAAG